GTGCACCTTGGGCACCTTGGCTTTCAGGTGGCGCTCGCACTTGGCCTTGGCCTTCAGCAGGAGGAAGATCTGCTCCTCCTTGGTGATGACATCGTCGGCATCCACCTGCAGGGAAGGGACACGGAGGTCAAACTCCAACTCCAAACCCTCCTCTGCATCCATAAATTCCTCAGCCTCGCCCTGAGAATCCCGGTTTGCTCTGTAACTGTGTCCCAAGGAGCAGCTCCTCTGTGGAATTATAATCCCTGGATATGGCAGAGGAAGCTCAGGAATGGGACTGATCCCATTGTGCCCATTCCCACATGGAAGCAGCAATTTTGGGATGGAGCATCCCAGATTGCAAGGATCAGGCTGCTGCCCAGGAGGAAAACATTCCTAGGAAATAATTTAATGCCAAGGATTCATCTCCTCTTAGGAATTACAACTTCCCGTGCTGCTCCTCCTCTGCACGGAGATTTCATCCACAGAAAATCCTGCCTGAATCCCAGGAATGTGTGGAGGGATCTGACAGCAGCTCCCCACCCTCTGCTCCAGGGAGAGCTCAGAGCCCCTGGCAGGGCCTGCAGGGGACAAGGGATGGAGGGACGGGACACAGGGAATGGCCTTGAGCTGGAAGAAGTGGATTTAGATGGGATATTGGGAAGGAATTCCTGGCTGGGATGGAATTCCCAGAGCAGCTGTGGCTGCCCCTGGATCCCTAGCAGTGCCCAAGGCCAGGTTGGACATTGGGACAGTGGAAGATCCCTGCCCATGGAATGGGATCATCCTTCGGATCCCTTCCAACCAACCCATTCCATGATTTCCCTGCACTCCCCGAGCCATCCCTATCCCAAATCCCGGTTCCTTCCCTCCTTTCCAGTTCATTCCCTTTGCCAAGCCAGTAACAGGAACCAGCTGAGGGCCAATTAACTCCCGACAAAAACTCCCTCCAAATGACATAACGAGGGTTAATGAATCCCAGCTCCCAAATAACCCGGGATTCGATTTCCCAGCGGGCTCCCAGGGACAGGAACGGGGGGCAAGGGACTCGCAGCTGTGGAGTTAAATCTGATAAAGGGCCGGGAGTAAAACAGGAGTTGGGTTTTCATGTCCTTGGAACAAATCCAGCCTGAAAAACCCTTCAACAAGCGGGAGCCGCTTCCAAACCGCGTCCACGTTAATGGGAACAATTCCAGCCTTTCCCAGATGTTTGGCCTGTCCACATTTAAGGCACCATCCCTCATTTCAGCTTGGATTGGGAACAGAAAGCTCGGGGTCAGCTCCCGCTGGCACACGGATCCGTACAAAGCCGGAGGAGTTAGGCTGGATTTAGAGGGACGGGAACCTCAGGAATTCCGAGGGATTCATCCCAAGCACGCTCAGCCCTCAACTCCTCTGGCTGCGCTTGGAGGGATGCACAGAAAACACATTTTGATTCCCAGAAATAAAAGGGGAAAAAAATTCCAAGGGCTGGGCAGAGACTGAGCTCAGCTCAGGTTTAATTTCCTAAACCTGCCTGATCCTTAAAAAAAATCCACTAAAACCGACCCCACGTTCCCTCTTCTCCTCCCAAAAAATTGTTTAAATGATAAAAAAAAAAATCTGTTTTGGACCTGACTTTGTGGGTTTCCCCTTGGTCAAAGAGGTTGAAATGTGAATGTAAATAAATTTATGGATTAAAACAGAGATTTTTCACTGAATCCTGGTGTTTGAAGACATCAGCTCTCAAAAGTTTTTGGGAAAACTATGGAATGGTGCTGGAAAAATCCCGTAAAACATCCAGGGAAAACCAGGCTGGGAGTTTGGAATTTGGCATTCCCTCTGTCCCCACCCCCTGTGGGGACATTTCAGAGCCTCCATGGGGCTAAAAGATCCCTGGGGATTGAGGATTGTCCAACCCTGGAATCCTCAGATTTGGAATCAAGGGACAGCAGCTGGCACAGCACAAACACCTGGAGCACCTCTGGATCTTCCAGCTGCTGGAGGAATTTCAGCTCCCTAATTGCACATTTCCCTGATTTTCCTTGGATTTTTCCTGCCCTGGATCTCCTGATTTCAAGGCAGAGTTTCTCTGTTTCTCTTCCCAGCCTGGCTGTCCGAGGTTAAAGGAATCCATGGGAATATTTTCCTTGTCAAAACTTCCTGATCTAAGGCTGGACAAAGCTTTCCCTTGGAAAAACAATCCCAACACCTGATAAAAAAAAAAAATAAATTATGTGGGAATGGCTTTGCTAAAACCGTTAGGAATGGTTTGTGGCAATTTTTGGGAATCTGGAGATTCCCAGGCAGCCAAAGAAGCAGCTCCACTTCCAGGAGTGCCCAGGTGGGATTTGGGAAATTCAGGATTTGGGAATGGCTGGGAATGAAGCTGCTGCTGCTGCTTTGGAAAGGATTTGGATCCTTTTGGATGGAGAAAACCAGGGATGGGGATGTGTAGGATATGGAGAAAGGAAGGAAATGAATCCCTAACTTGCAGGATTTGAGACTCAGATGAAGAGAACAAGGACTCAAAAAATCCCAACAAATCCCAACCAGAAATGAACAAAGCCCAAATCCAGCAGGAGATGGGAAAATCCAGAGCCTGGATGCAGATTCTGGGGGCAGGAATGTCCTAAACTGCTGCTGCCCCGAAGCTGGGAGGTGACAGCCCTCAAGTGTCACCTCTTTTCCTAAACTGGCCCCTCCTGGAATTAGGCTAGGGTGGAGAATTGGCCAAAAGAGGAATATTTTCATCAATATCCATGGATTTCTTCTCTTTTTAAGGCCACCTGTGCCATGCTGAGGATCCCAAAATCCACATTAATATCCAGAATTTGCTCCAAATCCAACACTATTTATTCCATGAACTCTCTGCACATTCTGCACAGGACAATGAAAAAGGAGATAAAAGGCACTGGGAATTTTTCATCCCAGTGAATTCCAGAGCCAAAAACTCCTCAGGATTCTCATATTCAACATTTCCCTCCTCTTTTATCAAATTCCCACGTACCTTCATCGTTTTAACCCCCCCAAAAAATCTCTCATCCTGCTAAAACCAACAGAAAGGAATAAATACAGGATTTATTTTTCCCAATAATCCCTGCCCTGATGAAAAACTGGGAATATCCAGGATGGGTTTTACCAACCTGAGCTTTTCCCTCAGAGCTCCTCTCAGAATCTTTACCTGCCCACAGCAGCTGGAATTTATTCCATCCTCAAACCAGCACCTGAAATAAATTGGATCAGCCTTTTTTGGGATTTCTTTCCCCCCCACTCCCTTTTTTTTTTCCCATTAATTGGCCACTCAGGAGCACTGGGAAGGTTTTTTTGAGGAGGAATTGCTGCTGATGGAAATTCTGGGGGAAAGAAGAACATCCAAGGGAAGGTAGAAATTGTCCCAGAGCTCCCAAATCCAGCTGTTTTGGAGGAAGAGGTCGAGGTTATCCTGTCCCTGCAGACTTAATCCCTCTAAAATCCCTCTAAAAGCTGCCAGCAAATCCCTTTAAATCACATTGCCCTAAAGTTCCTCAGCAGAAAGTCGTGCACTGAGTTTCTTGGAATTCACTTTATCCAAGGAATTGCTTTATCCCGAGGGATGCAGTGCCCTGGGTGCTCCACTGGTGCAATTTTTTCCCTGAATTCCTGCAATCCCACCCCAGGAGCACCTGGAAAGGATGGATGCTCCTCCCTGGGCTTCCCAGTTTTCCCATCAAATCCCACCTTGTTCCATCATCCCCTCCTCTCCTCCCAGTGCTGGAAAATAAAAGTTCCTCGTGAGGAGAAGATGTGGGAATGTCGCTTTTCCCTCCTTATCCAGAGAAAACAGAAATGCCAAAGGGAAAAGGGGACACAACAACTTTATCCCCAGGCTGTAAAATCCACTTGGATCCCTTTCCTTGCCCCCCATCTGAGCCCGTAGGGATGGATGAGGATGTCCAGGGAACGAAAATTCCCTGGTGATGTCCCAGCAGTGAAAGCAAACCCCAAATATCCCTGGGGAGATCCCGGTCATCCTCGTTTCTGGGTCCTCATTTTTGGGAATAACGGGGTGCTTTCTGTGCCACTTCCCTGGGGCACCTCAAAAAGCAGCTCCAGGAAAACAGATTTGTTGGGATTGAGGGTGAGGAGTTCTGGGATCTGCTGGGAGAACACCAGGAAATCGCTGGGAAGGGGAAAAAAGGGAGAAAGAAGGGAAAAGGGAAAATATTGCAATTCTGGAATGGTTTGGGTTGGAAGGGACCTTAAGGATTATCCCATTCCAACTCCTGGATGTTTTCCACAATCCCAACCTGGCCTTGGACACTTCCAGGGATTGGGAATCCACAATTTGCAGTCAGCACATGCCATTTCATCCGGGAGAACTGGGATTCATGGTGCCTTTCCAGGAACAGCAATTTAGGGACAACATTTTTAAATCCCAAAGGATTTCCTGTTTTCCACCCCTGGAGCAAACGAGGTGGGACCCAAGAGGCTGAGCTATGGAAAAATCAACTTCCAAGAAAGGAGGAAATTCCCATAATTTCCTATCAGGCTGCCTGAGCAGGGATGTCCTTCCCAGAGATCAGAGCATGGAGCTGCTGCAGAGGGATCAGCGAGGGCTGGAATTTTATTCCTGGATCATAAACAACCCCCACGGCACTCTGCACTTCAGGAATGATTAATGCCAACCACGATGGCTCAGCTATTCCCAGGAATCCCATCCTGAGCTTCCTCCTGGTCTGGAGAAGGCCTGGCCTAACTGGAGCCATCCCCATTTCTCCATAGCTCCCATGCGATGAGCCAAGCCTAACTCAGCTAAACTCCAGATCAAGGACTAGGCCTAGACCAAGGCAGGATCAAAGCAGATCTGTGAGAAATTCTGGATTTCTCCCACTGCTTCCAGAGCAGCTGAAGGTGATTCCCAGCTCCCATGGCTTGGAAATTCCCAAAGTGCTGCTCCTGGGTCCCTGTGTCCTGCTGGGAGGAGCAGAAAGGAATGTTGGGAAAACTGGGATTGTTCTGGCACGGTTTGGGTTTGGTTTGGCTCACACCCACCCGTCCCTTCCTCTCTTCTCCAAGGGATGATCCCAAGAAGTGTGACCTGGAAGAGTCCCAGAAGGATCATCCAAGTGCAGCCCCTGTGATCCTGAAATCTTTTAAGGGAATCT